AGAGCCTACTGAGCCATAACATTAATTTCAATGAATGTCAGAGATGTCAAAGGATTAAAGCCTTATACACTATGTTCATTGCAAACAAATGAATATTAAAAGCAACAATAATAAATTATCTGAAAGAGTAGTGGAATTTGAAAATTAAAGATGTTTAAATAATACATGAGAAAAAAAATCACAAAGAAATTAAGAATAATTTGAATTGAACAATAATGAAAATAATGAAATGCCAAGTTTCTGAGATGCAGCTAGAGCAGTGCATAGAGGGAAATGCATTGCTTTAAATGCTTATATTAGAAGAGATGAAAGGTTGGGCACCTGGGTGGCTCAGTTGGTTAAGCGACTGCCTTCAGCTCAGGTCATGATCCTGGAGTCCTGGGATCGAGTCCCACATCGGGCTCCCTGCTCAGCAGGGAGTCTGCTTCTCCCTCTCCCGCTCCCCCCTCTTGTGCTCTTTCTCTCTCTCACTCTCTCTCTCAAATAAATAAATAAAATCTTTAAAAAAAAAAAAAGAGATGAAAGGTTTAAAATTAATGATTTACATTTCTATTTTAAGAATCCAGGGGGAAAAAATCAAACCCTTAAACCTAAAATAAGGAGAAGAGAGGAAGTATAAAGAGAATAAAGAGCAGATACATGTGAAATAGAAAACAAACAATGGAGAATATTGGAAAAGCTGCAAATTGGTTCTTTAAAAGATTAATAAAATTTGTAAATTCCTAGCAACACAGATTAATCCAAAAGAGAGAGACAGCAAATTACCAGTGTCAAGCGTATCAGGGAAAACCACTGCAGATCCTACAGAAAGTGAAAGGATAATTTAAAAAAATATTATAATTACTTTATGCCAGTAGATTTCACAATTAAGAATGGACAAATTGCTTGAAATCACATATTGCAAATACTGAAATAAGAAAGAGAATATGAATAGATTTATAGAACAGGTTGAGTTCATTATTAAAAACTTTTCCATGAAGAAAACATCAGTCCCAGATGACCTCACTGTTGAATTCTTCCAATAATTCAAGAAAAAAGATAGTACCGATATTACATAAACTCTTTAAGAAAAGAGAAAGGCAGGAACATTTCCCAGCATATTCTGTGAGCTCAACATTACCCTGGTACCAAAACCCAGCAAAGATATTACCAGGAAAGGAAATTATAGACCAGTATTTTTCATCAACATGGATGCAAAAATCCTCAACAAAATATCATATTGAATACAGCAATATGTAAAACTGGTAATTCACCATAACCAAGTGGGATTTGTCTCAGGAATGCAAGTTTGGTTTAGCATTGGAAAATTAATCAATCAGTTGATTCACCACATTAAGCAAATAAGTGATTTTAAAAACTATAGTTCTTCTCAATTGAAAATCACTTGGCAAATTCACGTCCATTCATGATAAAAATCTTGGGCAACTAAGACTACTAGGGAACTGTCTCAGTCTGATAAAATACATTTACAAAAACCTACAACTAACATCTTAGTAATGTGAGATAGTGAACGTTTTCCCCCTAAGATTGAGAAAAGGTAGGTGTCTACTTTCATCATTTCTATTCAGTGGTGGAGGTCCTAGGCACTGTAATAAAAGAGGTGAAAAAAGGAAAGGCGTTAAGTTTGGAAAAGGAGAAGTAAAGATATCTCTATTTGTAGGTGACGTGATTACTTAAATAGAAAATCTTAGGAAATCTGTAAACAACCACTAGAAACAATAATTGAATTTATCACGTCAACATACTGACAATAATTGACAAATACATGATACTAGCAGCAAACAAATGGAAAATGAAACTTAGAGAACAGAGTCTTTTAAAATACCATCCCCGCCCCCCCCAAAAAACACAGAAGAAATATTAGGAATCAGTTTAACAAAATATGTGCAACACTTCTATATTGAAGATCACAAAACATTTCTGAGAGAAACTGTAGTTAGTAAGTTGAGTGCTCTACCATGTTCATAAAATAAAACATTTAGTAGTGTTGAGATGTTATATCTACCCAAACTGAGCTGTAGATTCTTTTTTTTTTTTTTTTAAGATTTTATTTATTTATTTGAGAGAGAGAGAATGAGAGACAGAGAGCATGAGAGGGGGGAGGGTCAGAGGGAGAAGCATGCTCCCCGCCGAGCAGGGAGCCCGATGCGGGACTCGATCCTGGGACTCCAGGATCATGACCTGAGCCGAAGGCAGTCGCTTAACCAACTGAGCCACCCAGGCGCCCCTGAGCTGTAGATTCTATATAATCCCAAACCATATCCCAACAGACTTTTTCATACAAGTTGATTTTAAAATGCATATGGAAACAGGACCTAGAATACTCTAAACAATCTTGAGAAAGAAAATCTAAGTTGGGGGACTCATTGTGTCCGATTTTAGGCCTTTCTGTAAAGCCACAGTAACCAAGACTGTGTAAGGACAAACAGATCAATGGAGCATAAGAAAGAGTCCAGAGATAGACGCATACATATACAATTCATTGGTGCCAAGAAAGCCACCAAGCAATTCATTGGGAAGAAAATATTTTCATAAATGGTGCTGGAAAACTGGATAAATGAACCCCACCTCACACCACTCAAAAAATCAAGTTTGGATGGATTATAGACCTAAATAGAAAAGCTAAAACTATACAGTTTCTGTAAGAGATTAGGAGACAATATCATCATGATCTTGGGGTTGGCAAAGATTTTTAAAAGCAGATACAGAAAGGCCTAATCATAAGAAAAATCTGGTAACTTGGACTTCATAAAATTTTAAACTTTTGTTTATCAAAACATCTACAGATTTATGTAACAGATTTCATATATGTACATATAGATATGTGTACTTATGTGCGTATATATACATTTTTGTATGTACATATAAAATATTCCTAATAACCAAAATATGGAAGTGTAGTCTCATCCTGTAATATAAATTTTATTCTCATTGTAATGTTTTTATTTCAAGTAAACAACTTTTCGTAAGAGTTATTTTATTCTATCAAACTTCTGTTCATGAAGGACATGAAATGGCAAACCAAAGACAGAGAAAATGTTCACAGCATGCATATCTGACAAAGGACTTATATCCAGAATGTATAAAGAACTCCTAGTCAAATAATACAAATCAATAATAAAAATATAAACAACCCACATTTTAAAAATGGGCCAAAGAACTCTGAAAAACAAACAGGGTTCTAGAGGGGAGGGGGGTGGGGGGATGGGTTAGCCTGGTGATGGGTATTAAAGAGGGCACGTTCAGCATGGAGCACTGGGTGTTATGCACAAACAATGAAGCATGGAACACTACATCAAAAACTAATGATGTAATGTATGGTGATTAACATAACAATAAAAAGAGGGAAAAAAATAAACATTGCAGAGATTGTCAGACTTGTTAAAAAAAAAAAAAAAATGGGCCAAAGATTTAAACAGACACTTCACCAAAGAAGGTATATCAATGGACAGTAAACCCATGGAAATTGCTCAACCTCCTTCGGTATCAGAGTAAATAAATCAAAAATACAATTAGACACTATTTTACATCCACTGGAATGGCTAAGATTAAAGACTGATAACAATCAAGTGTTGTTAAGGATATAAAGCAACCAGAACCCTCAAGTGAAATGTGCAAAATAACACAACCACTATGGGAAACCTTTTGATGGTTTCTTATAAAGGTAAATTTATTTCTACCCTATGATCCAATAAATTTGCCTCTAGATATTTTCCCGAAGAAAAGTCTCCCTTTCACTCTCTCTCTTTCTCTCACTCATTCTTCCTTTTCCCACAAAAATGCTTAAATAAAAAATCCTTATAATAACAATCCTATTCATAATACCCTCAAACTGGAAACATTTCAAATGCCCATCAACAGGAGAGGATGTAAAAATTTGTGGTTTATTCATCCAGTGGAGTGCTACTCAGCGATTGAAAAGCAGAATGACTATTGATATGTGTAGCCTAGATGAGTCTGAAAACCACTCTGTTGAGAGCAGGAAGCACCTTCACAAAAGAGTAATACATATGATTACATTTATATGAAGTTTAAGAAGAGGTAAAATTAATATACGGTGACAGACATCAGAAAAGTGTTTGCCTATGAGGCTGTGTGTGTGCCTCAGGAAGGGCTGAGATCAGGGTCCCACCATGGTTGGTTTCTGGTGAGGGCCTCTTCCTGGCCTGCAGACAGCTTCCTTCTCCTTGTGTCCTCACCTGGTGGAGGGAGAGCAAGCTCACTAGTGTCTCATTTTATAAAGCCACGAATCCCATCATGAGGGCCCCATCCTCATGACCTCATCTAATTTCCATTACCTCCCAAAGGCACCATCTCCAGTTAAGGACTTCAACACGTGAATTTGGGGGACACAATTCAGTCCGCAGCAATATATATTTTAGAAAATCTGGAAAATATAGATAGGTGGAAAGAAAAAGAAAAAAAAAAAGCCATGTAATCGCATTACCCAAGTATAATTATGGTTAACATTCCAGTGTATTTGCTTTCCAAAGTTACGTTATTTCGTCCTTTATGTGGTTGTAGTCGTTCTGTCCCAATAAACTTGCAGCATGATCTTCTTAATTACAAATGAAATGTTTTCTATTTACAAATGAAATGATGATCTTCTTAATTACAAATGAAATGAAATCTCTATATATACCCTCTCTTAATAGCCTCAAAAGTTTTCAACTGAGTGACTGTGCTCTAGTTTATTTATTACTTTGTGGCTGAAGTTTGGAATTCTTTCTAATATTTTGCTAGTGTAAATAATGCTGTGAAAAATATATCTGTGCAGGAGGCTTTTTCTGTAACTGAGATTCATTTCTTGGGATAGAATTCCAGAAAATGAAATCGTAGGTTAAAAGGTTATGCTCTAATTACATGTTGCCAAATTCCTTTCCAAAAGGATGTCCCACTTTGTATTGCCCCCAACAGTGGAGCAGGAAGGTACCATATCTGTTTGCTCTTAAGGGGCGGAGGTCATTTCCACTAATGTGTGTGTTGGCTTGTTTCCACAGGTTAGCAAAGATAGCTGAAGCCAACTTGTGCAGGATTCCCCTGGCTCTTCTCACTCAAGATCCCACCACCTCCTCTCCCTGGCAGCCTGTGTTCTGGGCTTCACCCAGACAAGTCTGAGTAGGAACAAGCCATCTCTTCCATCCATAGCCATGAATTTCCTCCGGCGGCGCCTCTCTGACAGCAGTTTCGTGGCCAACCTGCCTAATGGCTACATGACAGACCTGCAGCGCCCAGACAGCTCCACCAGCTCCCCTGCTTCCCCAGCCATGGAAAGGAGGCACCCCCAGCCCCTGGCAGCCTCCTTCTCCTCTCCAGGATCCAGCCTCTTTAGCTCCTTTTCCAGTGCCATGAAGCAGACCTCACAAGCCCCCTCAGGGCTGATGGAGCCTCCAGGTCCCTCCGCTCCCATTGTTCAAAGGCCCAGGATCCTATTGGTGATCGATGATGCCCACACAGATTGGTAAGCCAAAATCTGCAGGTGCTTCCACGTAGAGGCCAGAGAGGTGATGGGGGGGAAGCTGAGAGGCTTGGTGGTATCAGAGACTGGCCCGAGGGAAGGAAACTACATTTACCATGTGGCTACTGCATGCCAGGCACCGTGGCACCTGCTTTATGCTTTACATTTACAGGTCCCAATCCCTTACCTCTAAATCCAAAATCCAAAAAGCTCTGAAAACTAAAAAATATATTATAATCCATTTGGCCGCAAAGCCTGGTCTGAGGGAAAGTGAGACTGTAATAGTCTTCATTATACCACTCACTGTGCTTGACCATATGATCTGCAGCAATGTTGCTTTACATCTTAATATGTTTGCTGTGGGGATGCTGCCCAGAGCTCACCGGAAGTATTACATAATATATGGTATGTGTGCCATATTACCTTCCTAAAAATGGAAAACTTAAAAAAAAATCTGAAATAACTCTGGCAAGTTGCTTACTATCTTTCAGCGTCAGCCATTCTCTGTCCATTCAATTAGGTTGCTATGAGGGTAAAAGAAACCAACACAGGCCCATGGTCCTTCTCTAACACCGTTGGGACCAGAGTGCCTGCGTTTGTATCCCAGCTCTTCCATGTATGGCAGTCTGGCTCCAGAACCTCTTCTCTTAACACCAAGCGTGGTCAGAGACGACGTTAGGCATGCTGATAGATGGTAAGCTCTCCAGAGGCAGAGACTAGGCACATGTGTCAAGGTCATTGCAACTGTTGTTCCACAAGTAGTTACTGAGCACCATTCGAGTGCAAGTTGGGTAAGTGGTGAACAGACCCTGTTCACATGGATCTGGGCAGTTAGAGAATAGGGCTCTATACCAAATTTTTGGTAGAGATGGGTGATAAGTATTATCAGTCCTAGTTTGAGACACAGAATTTGCAGTCCAGGAAATAAGTCAAAATGTGGAGACATGGAAGCACTCCATCCAGGGCATTTCTGACAGTAGACCCATACATGATCATGGGGCTGGAGAGCAAGGTTGAATGCATGTGTCTCCAAAGGCTGCCACGTCATAGGCTCTCAGTATATCTTTCTTGGGTGAATAAATTAATGCATTCAGTTCACTGAGCATACCAGAGGCTCTGCTGTTCTCACATGCATGTGTGTACTCACATTCATTCCTTTAGACGTTAACTCAGGCTGGGAATGATGGAGCCTGTGCTTTGGAATGGGAGATATTTATAGTGTATAATACATATTCAGTACAGTCAATATGGAAGCATGCTCAGCAGGTGTAGACAGCAGTCTTTACTCTCCTACTAAGAAATCAGTTCATCTTAAGCAAGATGGTCATGTGTATGGCCTCTGTTCTGATCCAGTCTGCATTATCTTCGGTGTTGCTGTTTGCCTGAAGCCTGTTACCATGAAGCCTTGTTTATCTGTTTATGCGCTTACGTAAAAGCACCATCTTTAGGTTCTGAGCTTAGCGGTTGATTTGTGCAGAGATGTTACTTCCAGGCATTCTTGCCTGTACAATCCTGCTGCCTGTCTGCCCAGTAATCAAAAGGTCTGCATGGCCTTTGCAGTCCTCTGTTTCTTTTTAACCCAGTGCTTGACCTTGATTTTGAGCATTCTCTGCTGACTGTGTTATCTCTGGCTCAGTCAGGGTTTGCCATGATATGGCAGTGGTCGGGGGTTATTTTAAAAACCTGTTTGTCAGGAAAGTTACTTTCTGTATGGAGGTTGAGCTGATAAATGACAGCACAGTACAATGGTGAGGAACACAGACTTCAGAGTTAAGCTGTCTGGGTTCAGATCCCATTTCTACCCCATAGTAGCTGAATGACTTTTGCAAGTTACTGCACCTAAATGTGAATAAGATAGTATCTACCTTATAGAGTTAATGTATGTAATTGGGTTAAAATCTGAGTTCATATAAAAGTGATTAGGATGTATCTGGTAGACAGTGGGTTCTACTTAGTGGGTTGCAGACTGTTTGTGACCTTCTGTGCAACATTAGTCATCTTGATGGCAGCCCCTCAGTAATGGGCAGAGTGGATTAGGATTTATCCCATTGTGCAGAGTTTTCTATTAGTCACTCATGCCTGTTAGCTCCTGAATGATAAAGTTGGGTCTTATTAATCTCTGTCCTCCTGGCGTCCATGGGGTAAGCAGTATAGTGTAGGGGCACAGTGAATGAGGTTGAAATGCAATGAATGGCCTTACCCAGGTAACATTTATTTATTATTATTTTAAGTTTTTATTTAAATTCCAGTTAGTTAACATATAGTTACATTAGTTTCAGATGTCCGATATAGTGATTCAACACTTCCATACATCATTCTGTTCTCATCGTGACAAGTACACTCCTTAATCCCCATCACCTATTTCACCCATCCAAGTAACATTTACATTTTGACTTTGGTCTTCCGTCTCTCTAATCCACAGGCATGACTAATGGGTGAATTTTAGGCTGTGCATACTGATGGGGGACACAGTTTTGGCCAGAGGAATGTCTCCCAGTCTATTTCAATCATGCCTGTTATACTCACACTTTAATTAGGTCTCGAAAACAGCAATCTTTTTCTTGCCCCTCTGTGGGTAATAAAGGGGAGAAGGGAGAAACTGACACTCATTTGCTTACCTGGAACCTGGTTCTGCTGTATCCATTGGACATTTGTGATAGAGACTTCCTGCCTGCAGACACATCAGCTTTTCCTGCAGGACTCCATCCCAGATTCTTCTCCAACTTCCTATCCTCTCTCAATCTCAGTACATTCCCAGCTTTCTCCAGATTCATGAGGGCTGCCTGGGAATCCCAGTCCTCCTCTGCAGAGTTCTCAAAGGATGCTTGTCCCCCGGCACCAGGAGCGGCCAGCAGGTGGCGAGCCAGCCCCACTGTCCTGGGTGGCTTTGGCAGAGCCTGGACTGCCTGGGTCAGCCCCCGCCCAGCCCCTCCTCCATTGTGCAAACTGTCTCCTGAGAGGAAGAAGTTGTTGAAGGGGAGAAACCAGCTCGCAGGGCCTCTTTTTTCCCCCCCCTTTGAGATGATAATGAAGGGGGAGATAGCCACTGTCTGGACTGAGAGTGAACCTACCAGGAACAATGCTGCTCCCTTGTCTCCCTTCTCAGCCCCAGATCCTCTGTTTTCCCATTCGGGGTCCTGGGCCTTCCTGCAGAATCAGGTTTCCTTGTAGTGAGGGAGTTTGCAGAAACCCCCACTCTCCCCCTCTTGGTTGAGGCCAGCTTGCCAATACTCTGAACAAGCCTGGGCCCCCCAAGGACTATCTGATACCTGCCCAGTGACCTGGGGGGAAGGACTTTTCATCCTTGGAGGAGAAACAGGGCTCCAAAGCCACCGTTGCTGGGAAAAACAACCCATGGCTGAGCTTTGTAAGATCCCACCACCTTTTGGAGTTGGCCCTGGAGGTGAGCCTAGCTAGGGCAGTGGTGTTTGGGGAATTTTGGGCCAGCTCAGTAGTGGGTCTGAACTCAAGGTGGTGCTGTCCTTTGGGATGAGGGGAGATCAGTCAGTCTTGAGAACCACAAGGGAAAGGAGAAATAAAATAAATGGATTTCAGGCTCAGTATTCTTCAGCCCTACTACCTTTCCACTCATTCTTTTGCCTAGAATCTTCAGAAGCCTCACTGGTCTCAGGCCTCCAGTCTTGACCTCCTGGTTACCTTCCATGTTACCACCAAACGGTCATTTTTTTGAAACACAGACTTGATCAATTTGCTCGCACTGAGCATGCCCTATTATAATGCTCTGTTGCTACATCATTGCCCTCAAGTTCAAGTTCAGTCATCAGCTTGCCTCCCTCCCTCTAATTCTGTCTCTAGCTCCACTTCCTGCTGGACTATTTATTCTGCAGGAATAACAACCTGTAGTTCTCAAACACATTTGCCTTAGCACATTCTGCTCGCTGCTACCTGGAATACCCTTCCCTATCTTGTTCACGTGTCCAATTTCCATTCATCCTTAAAAAGCCTGCTCAGGTGTCACCTCTTTTGTGAAGTCTTCCTTGATACACCTCACCCTGCCAACAGTGCTAATAACCATCTTCTTTATGTAACTTAGAGCATATTTCATTGTGCTACAGTAATTTCACACTGTACTATCATTGGCTGTCAGGTGGCTGTCTTTTCTACCAAAACAAGGCCTGTGTCTTGTTCTTCTTTATATCCCTGGTGCTCAACACACAGTGTTCAATTAGCATATGTCATTGTCCCCACTCCAGTCCAATGAGGATAACTTTTAATGGGCATATTGGGGCCCAAAACTCACCTTACCTTAGGAGTCAGCAATATAATACATACAGTTGAGGGGTTTCTGTTTTTACTCACCTATGTATAAAATCTTAACTCTTTATTTTCCAGTATGGGAGGGTAACTGTAAGGCTGCTATGTGAGATTTTTAAAAGAAAGTTGGCACAAAATTTTATTATTGTCCACAGAATATACCAGAACCCCAGGTTTGATTTCAGATTCGAAACATTGAACATGACAAAAAAAAGATTGCTCATAATTGGGCTTGGGTTGGATGTACCTCCCTGCTCATGGTTTTGCCTGTAAGACCTCCAGAACCTGGAGGAAGTTGAGGAGCAGGTTGTTGAGGTGAGAGGATAGAAGCAGCTAAGCCTTTGCCCCCAACCCCTCCCTCCAGTGGCCTGTGGAACTCTGGCCCTCCTCTCCTCTTACCTCACCCATGGCCTTGTTCCCAGAATGTCTGCTATTCCATTTCAACAATGATCTATTGTTACCTTCCCTTCAATTCTCCACCCTTCCGTATGTTTCTTTTTTCTTTTATTTGTTGGGGAGGAAATGAAGAAAGTATTCTTGGTTTGAAACACCCCTCTGCTACTATCCTTACAGCCTAGAGTGTATCAGGCTACACTGTCCTACTAAATGATGATTGGTGATAGCCCTTAAAACACCTTGTGCATTTCTAGATTCACCAAGAGATGCTGTATGATAGTTTGTGTCTCCACCACCACCCCACCCCACCCACTCCCAGATGGTGTCTTTGT